AACAAAATAAATGTCCTTCAAATTTCACAATTTCTGTAAAAGAAGCGCGATAAAGCTCCATATGTAACATTTCTAGTCATTCGACTTTTTTAGCGCGTTTCTCAGCCAAACAGTGATCGAATCGAAATAAAAAATATATATTCGTGATCAGCTTTTCAAGCTCTATCAAACCATATATAAATGAACGAAAAAAAAATTTTATGGAAATTCTGCATTTTCGCTACCTTACTTAAAATTAACGAAGTAAGTTGATTTCTTCAATACCATTTTTCATTTATCAGATATTTATTGTAAAACTAATTTAATTAAAAGTCTTCTCGAGGGAACAAAAAATATTTATATGAAGACAATAAGAAATGAAATCTCATACTATTCTTTGTTGTGATAAAGAATCGAACTTGACCAGTAACTGAATTATGCATTTTTCATTTAATTATTACTTTTTTTTTGTTCTGTAGACATGGTGTTCACTAACTTTCGATCAAAAACAAATTGGAGACATTGAAGCAAGATAGTGGACTAATGCATTAAAAGTCAACAAGTTGATAACTCTGCATCAGACTGAAATCAGAGATAATGGTGCGCAATATCTGGTTATTGAACTACGAGACAATAAAGTAAGCGATGCTTCACAATTTTCTCGTAAATTGTGGAGTAAGAGAAAGCATTACTTAATTGTTCTCGAAACGAGCTGTTGAGCTTTTTATTACGATAAACTTCTGATCGAAAGTATGGCTTTTTTGACGATAATGAGGCACAGTGCTTGCTCATATTCATGTTTATTTTCTATTTTTTTGACTTCTTTTTTGCTAAGTAGTGATAATAAAATCTCTACCACATGATCTTATCTACTGATTTTATGTTGGAAATGAAGGTCCATAGTTTACGACTATCATGATGAAGATGCGCTAGAATGTATTCATTTTCATTTGTGCACCTCTCATTTCGAAACTACGTCATGATCTGTTGCTGACATATTTCTCTTTGTGTCAATATTAGCATGCAATCTTTCTCTTTCTTTGCATTTACGTGTACTTATCAATGGCTTATGTTTTTTTTCCAACCGACTACTACTCAATATTGTTATCGATGTTGGTTGTCAAGGTAAAAGATAAGGAATCTTAAGAATATAAAAGCTGCTATCATCCAATCTTTCAAGACATTATTGTAGATTGCCATTGCTGGTATGTAAAAGATGATTTTATATTCTTTAGTATTACACATCAATACAGTTGACTTTCGTTTTCTATTTTTTTTAATTCGATAGGAATCTATCTGATCTATGATGTTGAAGTTATTGTAGTATAGACAACGATAGTTTGAAGTCCGTATTACTTGTGACTATCATAGTTTTGAAATTATTGATCGATAAGGATATTGAAAAAACTTAAGGTTCTTTCTTGTTGTTAGATATACGACCTTGATAAGTACTAGTCGATGATAGTTTTCTTACAAACTTGTTCACTGGATTATGTTAAAATGTGAGCTTCTCATGTAAACTAACTTTGATAAAAGTCGTAGTTTTTCGATCTAATTCCGAGAGCAAGAGAGGTAACACTTGATAAGTACTTCATGGCAAACTTGACTTTCTTACATCCGTGTTCAAAAACAGAAAATCTTACTACCTTTTTTCGAAGAGTGGGACGCATCAATATGTTACATTTAATTAGAATTAAATAATGATTTACTATAGGAAATGGACCATCAAAATGGTAATACCAGAAACGAAAACACACGAATTGTAAAAGCATTTTCTATGGAAGAACCCTGCACAGGACTTGATTTGCATTGTAGAGGTTTAACCGATGATGATATGCAAACAGTCGGCCATCAATTGAAAATCAATCGAGTGAGTAGATCCGATCATTAATTCTCATATCGAATATAATATGAAATTTCCTGGCATAGATAATTCGTCTTCAGAGTTTTGCATTGCATCTCTATCATGTATTATTTCTTCAAACAGAGAACGAATGACTTTTTTTTATTCATATGACGTTTGAATTTTTTTCTCTCCATAATCATCCGTCTTTGTTTTTGATATAGACAATTGAACGTTTGAATCTTTATAGTAATCAAATTGGACATGTTGGAGCAAAATATATTGCAGATGGCTTAAAAGAAAATCAAGTAAATAATTAGCTTCAATATTAAGAATTAAATATAAAATATTTTCGATTGTATTAACATCTTCTTTTTTCTTCTATAGACTCTTACTCACTTGTATATGGGTCAAAATCAGATTGGTAATCGTGGAGCAAAACATATGGCAGAGACACTTACAGTAAATCAAGTAAGTAAATATGTAACTGAGTGAGACATTTCAAAACAAGAAAAAAATTAGAAAAACTTTAATACTGGCATAAGATTCATAAATGAACTGCAGACTAAGGATCACTCATCGATCTATGTTTTCTTGCAGACGCTTATATTTTTGCGTCTCGAGTTCAATTATATTAAAGATATTGGTGGAAAAAGTCTTGGTGAAGCACTTCTAGTAAATCAAGTATGTTTATTTTTTAATGTTACAACTATAGTATATGTATTTAGTTTTTGAAAATACACAAGTAATTTTGAATTTAATATTGAACAGACACTTTGTGTCCTTTTTCTCAATTCAAATGATATCGGTGATAATGGAGTTGAAGCTATTGGAAATAGTCTAAAAGTTCATAAGGTAAGTTTGTTTTAGTATATAGAAACAGACAATAAAACTTTCATCGCTTGTAATTTAGAAACTGTGGCATTTAGTACTGTCTAACAATAAGATTGGCGATTTGGGAGCGCAACATCTTGCCGAAGGTCTTAAAGTTAATAAAGTAAGTTGGTTTCTTAAATAAAATTGTTCATAGTATTTCTAAAGTGATTCATTTGATCAAACTTTACAGTAAATCGAAAAAACAATGGAATAAAATAATAAATTTTTCGAGAATAATATCAACATGTAGGAATATTTTAGTGAAGAAACAAAAAAATTCATGAAGTTTCGAGTTACCAGTATTTTGAAACATCAATTGAATAATAGTATTTAATTGTATACTATTTCTTTATTTTTAGTCACTATTGGAGTTGAGCTTATATGACAATCCTATTGGTGACATCGGTGCACAATACTTGGCTGATGCATTGAAAGCCAATGAAGTGAGCAGATATCCTCCATATAAAACTGTGACTTTTCATATCATTAACTATTGAATAATATCTTATTTTTTACAAGTATATTCTAAAAGAATAAAAAAACCATTGTAATTTAAGAACATATCAATTGATGATATTTTATATAAAATTATTTCTTTGATTATTTAATATAGACACTGAAATATTTGTCTCTGAGTGGAACTCAAATTGGAGATAATGGTATACAACATCTGGCTCTTGCGTTACGAGATAATAAAGTAAGTGGATTTTACAAAAATAGCTCTACTAAGTATTTATATATGTGTTTTTTGTGGTTTTTATTTTAGACATTAGACAGAGTATTTCTACCAAAGAACATTTCTGAAGATATTCGAAATAATTTGGTGAAGCAAGATCATCGACTTCTTTTTGTTTGATTTTTATCATTGTCATTTCTAACTAGGATGCAGAAAAAAAATATTAAATTCCTCTGAATCTATAAATGATTCATGTGTAAAAAACTGCTTGAATTGATTTCAATCGATACGTTTATCTAAATGAGCATTATGGGTGTGGATTAGAGTAATATTCATACTGACACATCTGTACATTCTACGTTCTTCTTAGTTCGATATAAACCTCATGGGATCTGATTGAAAAAAAGAAATATGTTTTAAACCTCAACAGAATTACTCACATATCATATTCTAACATACGTATGTGTATGAATATAGACTTTTTCTAATCTGATGAATGCTTTTAGAGTAAGCTACAAAATATTTTCAACATTGTCTGTGAAGATGATGGCAAAATATTATTTTGTATTGGAAATGTTTGAAAAGTTTCTATATTCTATAAACTAGTCTTTCTAAATGTAAGTACCATTGGCGTTATGTATCTCGGAGAATAAACATTGCATTATACCTGTTCTTTTCTTTTTGAATCATGATGTGTTCTCGTTTTTTCTGCAAGGTCATTTGTTAATCTTATGGTTCTTATCTTTGGTTGATTTAAATAGACATGACTGTTCTGTTTTTTTTTACTGATGCAATGCTTTCAAAGACACTTTATATACATCTTTAATTGCCTCTTTCTATAACGAACACTTAATCAAGAAAATATGAGCAAGAATATTTTAAAACTATACTATTTTGACACGCGTGGACGTGCTGAATTTATTCGACTTATCTTGGCTGCTGCTAATCGTTCTTATGATGATGTTCGCATTGATTATTCTCAATGGTTTGATTATAAACCGAAAATATTAATAGGTCAAATTCCTATGCTAGAATTAGCTGATAAAACTCAATTGACCCAATCATTATCTATTGCTCGTTATTTAGCACGTGAAATGGGTCTAGGTGGAAAAACTAATCTTGAATCTGCTAAAATGGATGCTGTTGTTGATACTCAACGTGATATGAATGAAACATTATATAATTTAATTGATTTTGAAAAACAAGACTTTAAAGATATGCAGAAAGTTAACAAGTTTATCAACGAAGATCTTTGTAAACATTGTGATAATTTAAGTAAACTTAAAAATGCTTATAGTAAAAATGGTCAATATTTTGTTGGTAATGAATTATCATGGGCGGATCTTTTTATTTACAATTCTATTGATGATTTATTTCGATTTTTACCACAAGTGAAAGATAAATTTGATAATCAATTCAAAGGATTATTTGATACAATTCATAGTATTAACAATATCAAAAAATATTTGGATCAAAGACCAAAAGTAGCCTATCGATTTGGTTAAATAATATGAGATTTTAATATTCTTTCTTTTTCATGATTCAAACTTTCAAAAAATAATAAATGTTCATGTTTCACTAAGTAGAGTACAAGTCTTCGTAATATGTCAACAAGTCTTAGGACGTATCGACTTCAACATCTCTTTTTCCTATAAAAATTTCATGATCATAAAACATAAAAAAATAGGACATTTGTCATTATCACTCCTACTGTCATATCCAACCTTCCTCAATTAATTACTTGATTATTACCAAAACATTGACTCAGTGCTGACTTCAAAGAGAAAAGAAGTTTTTCATTTTGTAATAGATATAATATGGGGGTGTGGGTGTGGGTGTGTGGGTGTGGGTGTGTGGGTGTGGGTGTGTGGGTGTGGGTGTGGGTGTGAGTGTGGTGTGGGTGTGGGTGTGGGGTGTGAGTGTGGATGTGGGTGTGGGTGTGGGGTGTGGATGTGGGTGTGAGTGATCGTCTTGCTCTTCTATATATTGACACCCACACCCACACCCATTTTAAATAATCAAAACAAAAAATCTTTTGTTTTGATTGTCCTTGTATATTAATTTTTTCAATTGATAATATATCAACAGAATTATCATTAAAAGTAGCAAATTATGTTGGTTCAAACCTTTGGAATGTGAATATAAATAAAGATTTTATCATTTAACATTTTATTATGGTCGTTGAAAAGCGATTATATCAGATTGAACAAATTGATGTGAAAAAGTTCAACTAATTGATTCATATAATTTTGATAGTTGAATCAACATAAAATCATTAGGATGATCGAATGAATCAGGGTTATTACTTGAATATCTTGTGTATTTAATAATTTTTGTTGCTTTTCACAGCAATATTTACATCAGATTAGAATATAGATTTAGATTTAAAAAAAAAAGATCTAAAATTTTCAATTTTGTAGAATTTTTTTCTAGTTCTTCGCCTGGTAAAACATTCTTAAAGCTCTATTCAATTCAACATAGTTTTGAAAAAAAATAAAGCAAAAAGTATCATTGAAAATTGTTATTATTTTATTTTTAAAATTCGATTGTCAGATATAAATCTAATGGTAATTTAATGGAAAATAAATACAGTACAGCAATACTTCAAGAAACCTTAATAATAAAGTAAAATGAAAAGAAAACAATTTTATTTGAAAACACCTTTATCAAAATCTACTTGAATCAATTCATTTCGATTTATTTTTATGATCAATAATATTTAAATTTACAATTTAATAATAATCTTATATAGAAATATTTAAAATATGACTTAATAAAATAAAAATATAATGTATCTATAAATAAACAACTTCGTTCTGTTATTGTTAAACAGTACAAAAATATTTCAATCCACTTGATGTATTAAGTGTTTATGTATCTAAACATTTATCTTATGAAACTAATCAATGCAATATTGGTGTTCTTCATCATGAAGTTCATATTACATGACTATCAATATCTCTAGTAGAAATCGAATTGAAAATTGTTCATATGATTATGAAAAATATGATGGTATGATAAAAAAAAGCCAATTAAATTTTTTCTATGCAACTAAACAAAAAATACAACATGGAAATGTGTTTATGGAAATATTGTAACTTGTCATTTATATGAAGAACGCGTTCATAAACCAAAAGAAATATTTTGGATCTGAACGAACATATTCTTTATTATTCTACATTATTATGGAGTCGTTTTCTTTTCATCTCAAAAACTATTCTCTTAAAAAATAGAATGAATTTCTGTCCATTCTTTTTTAAAACGATGAGGATAGAGTTCATTCTTAGAAGAAAAGAATAGACTATCTGCTGCTCTCTAAACTATTAAAATTTTCAAACAAAATCGATAAGATGAAAAGATGAAATCTTGACGATTAAACCTTTAAGTTGATAGCTCTGATTTTTGAAAACAAAAAATATTTCGAATAGCATATTGACCTACGAAAAATTGGAGCAAGTTGTTGGATAGAACTCGCGAAGTTCTACTAGGTTGAATTCTCTGGTGAATCACATGTTAACTTGACTTTTCTTTGACGATTCTTATAAGAGATGTAAGTCTAAGTGATAACGATTAAGAAAGAGTTCCTTCCAAAAATAAAACGACGAAGAACGTTTTCTTTACTTAAAAAAAAGCAAAATTTGTTTTTTGAATCTTATTCTATGCCGTTTTTTGAGAGGGATATTTTTTACTATGGGGACTATTTATTATTTCTAGTCTTCTCATTCAGTTCAAATCTATTATATATAATATCTTATTACACAATCAATGTAATTAATAACTGTTCATTCATTGCTGAAGTCAAATTTTGAAATTTATTTATGTAAGAGAAATAAATCATCATTTCTATTTGATTCTTTTTTGATACACAAGATAATAATAAGAATAATATTGTTTTTCTACTTAATATTAACTTTTTTAATTGACAAATGTTAAACAATAACTAAGACAATTGTCTCATATTTTATATAACGTTAAATATTAATTATATATATATATACATACAAAACTGTAAATTAATTAGAAAAAGTCATTTGTAAATCTAACATATAAATAAGATATTTTTTTATTTAATCTTTTATAGACAAGTTTGATATAGATAACTTTTTTCTTTTAACCAATAAATAGTGATGAGACATAACGAGTAAAAGAACGAACATATATATCTAAACTAAACTGCAATATTTCATCACGTCTTCGTTCAACTCATATTTCAGTCAAATGTTGAACCTGAAATCAATGCTAAAAATGGACAAGAGACATTTATCCAGATTAGACTTACAAAAGAGATTTATACGTATTATAATTTTATATGAAAACTATATTTTATTTAAATCAAATCGTAAACTGTAGAAATTGATTTGCTAATTTTTACTACATTTTTTCTAGAAATCTTTGCTTTTTTTTCTTATATGATCTATTAAAAAATTAAATTAATAAAAATTTGATTTTGTTTCTCAAAGCTCAAAATTCCTGTTAGCATAAAAAAATCATCGTTTTTACGGATATTTTTTTTTAAATTATCCTTTCTATTAGTATTATTTTTGGTCAATTAGTTTGAATTTAACCTGATCGATTTCACGAACAAAATGATTGATTACTATAAACAAATATATTTAACAACTACAATTAATTATTGGTTTTCGTTTTCTACATAAAATTTTTTATATCATTTTATATATTCGATACGTGAAGCTGACGAATGAATAAGGACTTAGAAGGTGGATACGAGTGTAACATTTTCTTTATTCACTTAAACATCCACACACACACCCCATTTAATATTATTTCGAACACTAAACATACTCACCTTCAAGAAGAAAAATAAATGAGTGAGAAATAATACTATTTGAAATTTAGGATTATGTTTAATAAAAAAAACCTTGAGATTTAATTTAATATTAAATATATCATTAATTTTGTCGATTACGACTTTTCGTGTGGTTTGATGTTCAAGATATTGATTAATAAATCTTTGCGAATTTCAGAAAATTTTTATATTTTATTGAGTATATATTTAATACAATGCATTCATCTAAAAGAAATCAACTTGATATCTTCAATAAAATTAAACAAAATCGATTTATAATACTATTTCAATCATAATCAAAATAATAATCCTTAAGAATATGAAGACGAATAAAACGATTTTTTCTTCAATATATAACTACTCTAAATTAGAAGATTTAGGATTAAAAAATTTATTTTTCAACTTCAAGAACATTCTAAAAATAAAAAAGCAGAAATGCATATAATTTCTTCAGTATAAATTTTAAATTAAACATGAAGAATCATAATTATTCATGATAAATGTATAAATGTAAAAATTATTGATAATTTCATTCTTTGTCATTAACAATATATTTGTTATTTCATGAATGAATAATCTATCCAAAGAATTAAAATCGTTACTATTTTAATGAAAATTTTGATTTCATTACAAATAGTCTAAAGGAATCATCATCAAGTCATCATGTTGATTGGTACAAAAAAAAGAACAAAAATTTCTTTTCTTCGATATTGTTTTCCTAGTGATACGTTTAAAGGAGCAAAAATATTTTTAGAAGCTCACTGCTTAACTTCAAAGTTGATTTTTGTCAATTTCGAGTTATTTTCACATAAATGTTTCTTTTAGATTTTTCAAATTTTCTTACTTTCATATACATATCGTATCATCTATATACTAGTAGGTGAATGTGAGAGTTCTCTTGTCTTTTATTCACACTCACTTCTATAATCCACCTAATCTATTTGAAAATTCGACAAATAATAATTTTTCCAATTACGATTGTTAATTATTATATTGAGCAGTAAATGAAAGTTATACAGAAAAAATACGATAAATATCGCTAGAACTGAGTATCTATTCCGAGACTTGTTCTTATCATGTAAATAATAAATATTATCTACATTTTTTTTATCAATTAACGGGTACATGTATCTATGTATGTATCACCATCAAACTTGAAATTACAGTTTTACTCGGATGAAATTAAAATTCAACCACAAATATATTAATCACGGTGTGTGTTTCCTAGCAATCAAATTTATCGATCTTGAGTCATTTTTCTTTAATTCGTATCAAACGCTTTTTTCAATGTTTATTCATTCAATTCTTCTCTTGTCATATTTTATCTACTCAATTCAATTATCTATCATGCTGCGTATACATTTGAAGGTACATGCTATATGTTTTCATTTATTTTCTTCGTCACTTAAATGTCATTTTTGTTTCTAAAAATAAATGTATATAAAGGTCTATATAATCAATGAATTCTATCAGTTGGTAAAACCTTCATGCCACTTCAAACAAATCTTTTGAACTTACAATCAATTGTATTTCGATATTGTTCATTTAGTTTTCTTTCACATTCACTTCAACATGAGAGTTTGATTAATTTCGATTTCAATTGAGCACAATGTGTTTAATTGTAAGGTGACAATTTCAAAAAGTTGAGAAGTTGAAAATGAATATGTACAGTCACAAATAGATGCATGCAATAAGAAA